AGAAAAACAAATGTCACAGACGGGGCTTCGTCGTTATTTCACATCCCATATCAAAAAATTTTCCATTTCCCTGGTTGTTGGTCCTATTGGCGAACAACGGACTTTTCGAAACTCTTGTTTACTTCACTTTCGATTCGACCTAACTGCTTTTACCTCTCACGTCGTAGTTTACTTCCGAATTTAGAGTTCGTTCGAATCTCCTGTTCATTGTTCGATTACGCACGTAGTATTATACTGTCATTCATGATATCTCGTAAGTTATAAATATAACATATTTATAGTGTAAATTCGATCTACAAATTCACAGGATAGAAAAACTTTCAAGACATTCGAGTACTAGCAATACATTTGAATTAATTACCAACTATTACCATTGTACGAAATCTAAACAGCATTCATTTCTCTAAAGAAAGAAAAAAAAGAATCAACTGCATCGTGCCGCGTACGAGATTTGAATATATACCCGCCGGCACATAATATTTTTCTCGGCTCGAGTTTTTTCTAAAAGCTCGAAGCTCGCGGTAATTTTTTAACCAGGTTATTAATGAAAATTATCGCGCCGGGCATTAAAAATTCGCGTCGCGATACGTTTCGCGCGAGATAAACGCGAAAGAACGCGCTCGCTTATATGTTTTTAATATCGAAATGCTAACAGAACGGCGGTTAATCAAATACGAACGTTGAATGTTAAACGTATATTTGATTTCTGCCGCCGCGATGAAAACAAATTCACTCGGCGTGAACGCGCCCTTGTGTGTACGTGTTTAAAGCGTGTTTATAACTTCATATTACTACATACCCCCGTTGGTGGAAATTCCCGGAAAGGAATAAAGTATCTTCTGTTGTTGGGATGTTTTTTCTAACGCGGATAACCGAAAATTTATCGAAGCTTTTTAGTAACGATAATGTCCAAAGTCACGATAAATTGTCATTTAGCGGCCGAGATTATGGATACGAGCATGCAAACACCGGGATAATAGAGTATTACGATAATTACGAATGTTATTCATGTTGTTAAGCTCGTGTTAAGCTTTCTCTTTGTTCTCAGGCTGAAAGGTGCGAGTAAAAAGCGATTACGGTCATTCGCCGTGTACACGTGAATTGCAACCATTAATTAAATAACACTAATATAATATGCGCTTTTCCTGTGCAAATATAGATGATTGATACGTCCCCGTGGGAATATATTACGTCTAAAAGTATATTTTTGCCGAAGATAAATTAAACGTAAACGTGGACGAGGAGGAAATGGATTAGTTTGCCATTGCAGCGTGATTTCGATTATTATCTCCCATATTTATTACTTGAAATTATTCAAATTACATATTATTTTTTGAGAGTGTCTCGAGATTGCTCGTACATATCGAGCTTAAACGCAAATGAAAACAATTTGCACGAGCGCGAGAAGTATTCCACGCCGGGTGAAAAAATCCCCCCACCCCTCCCCCCCGAAAACCCAGAAAACCCCGTCGAAAATTCCATCGAGATCGCGCGCGAGACAAACTTGAGAAACGTTCCTCGCAAGAAACGAGATTGATGACACGATGGATCTGTCACCATCGTGAAGCGTCGACATAATTCGAGAGGAAGCGAAGAAACAGCAGCTGAACAGAATCGAAAGGAAATGAAGCGAGCGGTTTACGCGTGAACGCCTCGGCGTGTTAATCAACCGGGCGATGCTGGAACGAGTTAGAAGATAATCGGCCGCGAATATATTGTTCTTGGTTCGTCGACCGGTCGTAATTAAGATCGCTGAACGAAAACGCGTCGTCACATTGGTAACAAGTTCAGCGGCAGGCACACCGGCACAGTCTCCTACTTATAACGCCAGCGGAGAACTCGGCGGGGAGTGGTTGAGGGAAAACGGAGTATGTAACACTCCAATTAAGCTGAGGCATCAGTCTACAATGTCTAGAGTACCGAGCTTCACAATGAAGCCCTCCTGATGCCAGACACTGTAACGAGTTGTAACGTTATAATGCCAAATACCGTATGCGGGTTCTCGTAACGTTTTCCTCGTTTTCCCGTCGATGCCCCCTTTGATCTCCTTACGTCCGACGAGAAATCAACAGAGGCCGGAGGCAAACACGGCTAATTAGAGAACGATAATCCTGTTTTAAATGGCCGTCGACGCAGACGGAAAAGAAACAGAAAAGTGCAGTTCGCGGATTCAAATACCAGATCTGGCGTATCCCCTTCGCCACGATAAATCGCCGCAGTTACCGCGTGTCACACACGGTTGCAACGAAACGTGTGCAAGAGTTATTCGTCGTAATATTTCTGCCCGCGTGTCTTCTCGCACGCGCGAAGCGCCATTTTTAAAAGTTGAATTCTTGCGTGACACATTTTCACGATTATCGTATCCTATTATTATCGCCGAAGGATTTTTAGTACTTTGAATGCTTGAATTTTTAATGATTGGACATAATCAGCGAGATATCTGGAATATAATATTCGCGCGGAATAAGTCTCTCTTATCCAGCTTGCATCGATTTTAGTGATCGACGGTCCATTTTAGTGATTTTATTTCAATTCTTCTGGTACTTCTGGTTTTCGTCGGTGAACGAAGCTTTATAAATTTTCCATCGTTCTAGCTGTTTTATATTTACATTTAGATCGACTGGGCAATATCCAAAATGGCAATAAATTAATCTGATTAACAATAAATACTACGACTCCTAATCTATTCTAATGCTCGATATTTTCGATTTTCGTTGACGAATGAAGCTTTATAAACTCTCTACTGTTACTTTACATTTATATTTAGCACGATCGGACAATATTCCAAATAGCGATAAATTAATTTGCTAGTACTACGATTTGCTAACCTACTCTAACACTTGATTTTATTTCCGATATTCTCGTCGAAGAATGAAAGTTTCACAAATTCTCTTTACGATCGTTCTAAATTAACGATTTGACAGTGTTCCAATCTGCAAATACTACGATCTCTAACTCCATCAGTTGATAATCGATAAACTATATTTGCAGTTGACAACCCCATTATATGTAATATTTTTAGAAAACGAAAGACGCTTTCATTAGAATTGCTTTCGACTCCGCTGAGTGATCCACGAAAGCTCTGGTTCGTCCTTGTTCTGTACAAAGGAGGATTCGCTCAAATTGTCAAAGCGACGAGACATTCGTCAGCGGCCGGTTCGGGGCGTTCATCAGCGCTTCTTATCTTGCAGAAGAAGAAAATTTTCGAGGAGGCAGGGAGACAAAGTGCTTTTTAGTGAGTCGTTTCGAGGATTAACGCTTCGTCAATCACGATGGTTTCGCTGAGACGAAATTTTTTTCCCCGAGGACTCTTAGCGCGAAATTCAAACCGAGCCACTTGAACAGGCCCAGCAATTTGTTTCTCCCTTTTGGTTCTCTCCCTCCCCCTCCCTCCCACCTCTGGTCCTGTTCGCCTATTCTATCAAAAACTCGTACCGCAATGTTTCAATACAACTTCAGCCACGCCTTTAATGAATGCTTCGTTTCAAATGACACGCGTGTACAATTGCAAAATCATTTTCATTGAATTGTCACTTGACAACTGGATGCGTGAGAAATGTCTGCAATTTCATTTGGAGTATCAAACTGTTAAAAATACAGTTGCAAAATTTCGAATCTCCAGAGTGACTATCAATATTTAAAAATTCTCAGTTCGACGAGTTTTTTTTCTTTTTCGACACTAAATACCAATTCGGCAATTAATTTTATTCGAAAGTTTGTTCCCAGGATCTCCAGGCTATCAATGTCAAAACTCTTCGATCTCAATATCGAAAGTTTTCAACGCCGAGTGCCGATTTCGTCGTCGATGTCCCAGTGTTATTGAAGATCAAATTTAATTAATTCATCCCTGAAATAGCACCCGGCATTCGCCAGGAGTTTTCCAGTTGAGGAAAGTTCGTTCTTTTTAAAGCGATTGCGAATCGATACAAGTTCGCCGGTCGCGTTTTATGCCGCGCTCCTTCGTTTCCCAGTCGGAATTCATTTCGGTTATGGAGCAATTCCACGAATTGTTGGCAATTTACGGAAACTTGTCGGTGTTCCCAGGGGGTCGCATCGAGCCGTGAAGGAGAACTGATAAAAACTCGGGCTAAAATATTCGGGAAATGCTGTTTCCACCGAATTGTCGGATGGCGCCACATTTTTACATCCGAAAATAGTCGCGTGAAGTCTTTCTGTGCACGTGTGGAACCAAAACGCAGACTAAATAATTAAATTAATCTCTGTCACTGTGTGAGCTTCAATCACTTTGTCATACACTAAATGTATAAAAACGCGAAATTGAAGTTAGTGCCATCTTAATGTTAAGAAAAAATTGTCACGTAGAAATGTTTCGCAGAGTTATTTGATTTCATGAGAAGCAGTCTCTATTTTGTCAATATCGACAATTAATAATCACAGTTGATAAACATAACTGATTGCAAATGTAACACGAATATAAAGAAGAAATAAATTCTTTCAAGGTGGATCGATTCTAATCCTTGTACTACCGAATGGAAGAGTTGAAAGAGATACTAGTTGTTCCAGGAAATCTGGATGCGCGGGAGAAATCTGTTATCTTGCGTAGATGCTATTGTGTGTACTCCGGTTCTACGAAAACTGATAACATTGCATTGTCAGGAATAATAATGCACCATTGTTACATTTTCTGTTCACGGATATATACCAATTATCGATCTCGCGCTACTTGTAAAAATTCTTCCTTTCTCATTCAACTTGTCTCTAGAAATTTCTTCCGAAGAGAATGGCAAATTCAATATCGTGAAATATCCGCTGTCGAAACACCAAATTGTCCCTTTTATCTATCAAAAAAAAAAAAAGAAAAAAGTACACGTCCCGCAGCGAATTAAAAACTTCTGAATAGCAGTTGTCCGAAGCGAAGCACGAAGATATTGATCAACTTCTCGTCGGCGAAGTTCGAAAAATACAACTCACCGTGTATTAACTTAATCTCGCAACTTCGGCGAAACTACATATCTAAGATCCTAATTACTTCGTTTCAGCTTGGATATAAGTTTGGGCCAACGTCATCAGAGGGATGGGAGGCAGGATGATTTCCAATAAAATCAAAACACAGCTGCCGAGGCTTCTCCGAGGGGTCTCCGAGTCGACGCCGAGTCGATTTTAACGAATCGGAAGCCACCGGATAAATGCCGAAGTCGAGGTTCCCTTTTATCGGTAAACAGCTTACTTCGATTCCAATTCGACGGAACGCGGCGGGGGGAGGGGGGAAGTTACTTGACGAGAGCCGATCAGAAATTCAGCCGGCGTCTGTTTGTCAGCGAAACTTTTTACGCAAAAGCCATCCTCGGACGGGGAATCCTCCAACCTGCACCCGGTACCCTTTCGTCCTCCTCTTATCGATATATGTATCCCGACGCGCGCGAATACACGCGCTCGTGAACGTCCCCGCCTCGTTCCGTGTCCTCACGACTTCGGGACTCGTCGTTCGCGGACAAGTTTGATTGCCACCACCTCGCAATTTGCCTGCCACGTCGCGGCGCAAAAGTGCCGGTGTAGGAACGATGTGTCTCGATGTGTCCTCAACTTCTTGCGGGGAGGGGGGGGGGGGGGGGATATTTTTTTTCATCTCGCCGTTTTCCAACGACGACGACGCCTTTTGTGCTTGTTCGTTATTTGTTTAGTTGGCCACCTTGGCCTTGGTTAAAGAAACGAGAACGGACCGAAGAAAAGCGATACGTGCATGGTTAAGTTTCGTCTCGCCGAGAATTTTCGAAATTATATCTTCTCAGTGGTTTCTTGCTCTCGCTTTTTTTTTTTTTTTTTTATTTGAATTTTCACTCGTCTGTGAATTTAACCATTGAAAAGAACTGGACAAAGCTTCGGACTACGTACGCTTTTCGGGAATTGAAATTTTGTCGAAATTTTGTTGTTGCTGTTTAATCGCGGAATCTACGATTGCAGAATCGTCTGCTCGAGGAATCGACTAATTATTTTTGAAATTTCATCTCCTTTGATATGCAGGAATGTTTCATTCCGTTTCTCTTCTCGTTCAAAATATGAATTTATAGACTTTCGGGGAGAGGCTACATCTTTTCGTGACTTCTCCGATTTTATTCACTTCGAATTGATCACGTAACAGCGCGAATGGACTCGCGTTGAAGGTGAAAGTGGTCCCAAAGTGGTCACGATCGTCTAGGAGATATATACGCTTTAATTATGCACAGAGGAAGAATTCTCAGAATTATCTTCGCCGATGCTGGCTGTTTAGCCGGTCGTTTGAAATTCACCGATTAAACTCGCTCCTCGACGTTTCTTTCTATATTTATATATAGCATACTTTCACTAAACTGATCGACACGCCTATGGGGGATTCGTCTCATGAATAATTAATCGAGATACTTTTAAGCGCCGCGACACTTTGATCTTACAAGTTCGACGCCAGCCTGATTTCACTCGTACAAAATAAATCGCGACAATGCTGCAGATCCGTTTGAAAAAATTTCGAAAATTTGCCACGCTTGTTCGCGTTCAAATAAAATATAATTGAATTTCTCACTTTCGTTTGATTGATCTTAGCTCTACCTTCTGAAATTCAAACGATCAGGAAGAAATAATTCTTCGAAGATATACAGTTACGTAACATCGGAACCAATAAGAGAAATTAATTATTATTATTAAATTAAATATTATGTTATTATTATTAAATAAAATAATTAAATATTATTATTCTTATTATTATTATTCCTAATATAGAATAATTATTTATTGAATCTAATAATTAAAAATTGGATAAATATTTAATCTTATAGTAAATAATATAAAAAAAATTATTCTGTATATTATATTAATATTATTATAAATTCATGGATAAATTAATCATAATAAAGTATTTTATTTAATCTCAAATAAAATATTTCTTTGAAAATTAATTTTAACATGTCGTTAAAAGGTTGAAATAATAACTTGTTTGGACCTTTACGGTATTTTGTACAACATACGCTCTGCTCAACTGACGATTCCATTAAGAGTAGAAGAAAAAAGAAAAAAAAAAAAAAAAAAAGGAAAAAGAAAACACTGACTTCTTCTGATTTTTACCCAAAAAGTTACATTACACGTAAAATACGAGTTTACGAGTGATTTGGCCGAGTTTTACTCTGTGATATTTATCAAACATCCATTAGCTCCGGGGAAAAGGATTTAATATCCGAAGACCACGCGCATCGGCCTTCGAGCGTGTTCGCCTACGAGAGAGCGTAGAACAAACGTGACAAGAGGTAGAATTTCAAGAAGTCGGTAAATACGCCAGATCTCGTGCCTTTCAATCTTTCCTCGAAGATTGCAGGCCAAGGTGGAAGGGAAACGAAGGCGGCCAGGGTATTTATAAAAAAAAAAAAAAAAAAAAAAAAAAGGAAGAGAAAGAAATCTTAACGAGTCTGTAATTAGCGTAATTACCGTTGGCACTGTGTACTTAAGGGCTTGCGTAGTCTTAATGTCTCTGTCACCTGAAACGCCCTCCATAATTCCTTTTAATATATCCTGTCTAGAAAAAAAGGGGGGAGGGGGCGGAAATGTAAAAAGGTCGCGGCGGGTATCTAGATCGAAGCTTGTGAACGAGGGTCCTCTTCGGCGATTGCCAGCCAGAACGGATTACCTCTAATCTCTGACATTAGCTCCCTTTTCTGCATCGACCGTGCTTTACACGTTTCTATGGGAATATGTCTCAATTTACCTTCTGCCTTCTCTCTCTGTCTCTCTCTCTTTCTTTCGTTTCTTTTTATTATCCTTTTTTTTTTTCAACCTGCCTGCAGACAAGTTCATCCGTGAATACCTGAATACAGAATGGGAGGAAATAAATCTTCGTAACGCCTGTAAACGAGAATTCTTCGGAGAAGCTGCTAACTAGAAAATCGTATTAAAATAGGGCGAGGGGGAGGGGCTGAAGTTTTCGCACCCTCGTCCGCTAGAGTATCCCATTATTTCATAACAAATTGCGTTCTATCCGGCGTAACGCGTTCCGTATGAACTGGTGCATTCGAAATAAGCCGGCGAGGGTAAATTGGCTCGGTAGTTTAATCGCAGTTTTACCGGTGACGTATAATTTTGGATCCACGCTGTTGGATTGCTAATGGCGACGCGGATCGATCGATCGCTCGGATGAATTTTCAAGCTCGAGAGAAAGATAGAAGACAAAAGTGTCGAGGGTAAATGTTAATTTTCGAAATTCAACGTTGTTCGTGTTCGATTTATGTTCGTTACGTTTACATGAAAATTCGCGGGACGTCGATTCGGGAATTAGGAATAATGGAGATCACGGTGGAAAGCGAGCAACGCCGGGCGATTCATTGTCAAACGTAGTTACTGGAGATTCGATAACCTAGGCTGACGCAGTATCGAAACGATAAGCATCAATCACCAAATCGGGCCTTCTGTACGGTTGCTTGTACAGTTGACAGAACAGTTTAGTCGAACGCTGATTGAAGACGCGTTTACACTAAACCTGGCCAACTTTGCGTTCTCGCAGCAACCGACGTTTAAAATACATATCGTATCGGCTCTCGCCGTTATTTCGCAATTGTTTCGTAATTGTTTCACTCACACCCTCGGTATCAATTCCGATACATTATTTCCGTCAAATTGAATCAGATTACGTCGCAATCGATCATTTTCCAGCCACTTCGAATGTTTGCAGTTCGTCGTATTTGCATTGAATTTACATCTCGTTAACCTTATATAAATACGGCAAGTTACGGTTGACGTTTTCATTCTACGTGTAATTAATCAACATCATTGTGATACGAGACAGTACCTGCCGAGGGTATTAAACACCGCCCTCTCCGCGTTCTTTATATTCATTAAGTGCAATTTATAATATTATGCGGGCAAGTGGTGCAACAATGTGCAAACTATGTCGGTTAATTAAACTTGCTAATTCACTGGGAGGGGGGAGGAGGGGGGTTGACTAAATAAGAGAGGGGCCCTCCTTGAGTCTTGCCGCATTGCGAGGAATTAAGCAAAGTTTCAAAGCATGTTGTTATCAAAGACGGTTGACGCGCGTGTCCTGCGCGCGCCGCGGATGAAAGAAACTACGTGTCTGAAGTATCAAACGAAACAGCGCAAGCGAATTAGTGCCAGATGCAAACACAAACGAGGTGACAGAAACAGACGAACTCTGTGGTGAATCTGAAATCTCCGACGTAAAATGATCCTCTTCGAAGCAAAAATAAAAATATATATATATTGGTATTTCTACTCCCATGTCATTTGCTGCGATTGTAAGAAATATTTAGTAATTGCTCTAAAGAAACAATTGGATAATTAAAAAAAAAAAAATCAATAGTTTAGGTAAAATTTTTTGATCAAGAGAGCGACTATTTTCTCTCAAGTTTCAGTCAGACTCGATCAGCCTGCGAGATTCAGGTCACGGTTCTATTTCCAATAAATTTCGGATAATTGATTTCTCCGCAGTTTAAAATGCTCGTATCACTGTAGCATACAGCACGCCACGATATCATTATTATATTCTCAAGAATATTCACACACACTTGCACGTCCACGAACTCGTTAAAAATCTTCCGAAATATTATCCTTGACTCGTGAGATATTTCGCTTCTCGCAACCTGTCACTTTTTTTTAAGATCGTTCCGATGTATACGATCGTTCATTTCGTTTGAAACGAACAAAGAGAGAGAGAGAGAGAGAGAGAGAGAGAGAGAGAGAGAGAAACAAAAAAGAGAAAAGGGGAAACGAGGTTAATCGCAGCAGAAAGCATTGCGCAATGTCAAACATTAGAATGATGATGGATATGGCTTTTAACGAGTAATTGACTAATTATGACGAGCGACACTGGCCAAATGCCGTATCGAAACAATATGTTTATAATATTAGGTAATAGCCTAGACGCTCATCTCAGAGTACAACACGTGCGCGAGAATAACCTGGCTTGTCAAAAGAGTCATACACCTTGCCTCTCCCATTGACTCTGTCGTAAATTTCGAACGACGAAAAAAAGAACGAGGTGGAGGCTGGATCTTGTTCCTCGCACGTTATATAACGTCATTCGCAAAGTCACGAATAGCTGGCTACTTAGAACGTGCGGAACTTCCTGTAGGTGGGCAATTTGCATAATTCGGCAAAACGTATGTTTTACATTCTCTAACAGTCGTACGCGACTTTTGATCACATTGTACTGTGGCGTGACTCTGCGTTCGTGATTGTTAAACGATCCAGCAACAGAGCTACCAATTTTGTTCGAGTGTTCGTCAGAGAGAGAATGCGAGTGCTAAATTACAGTGACGTAATGAGACGATCTGCGTAAATTTCTTGCAATTAACGAAACAACGAAAGAATTATGGATTGAGGGACGATAAATCACGATGGATCGTGATTATACAACGTATGAAATAACTCGATCAAATAACTATATCGTGAGAACGTGATTCGATAAATTGCCGGTGATTTCCCAACGTTTTTATTGACGTGAAAAATTGTTGCGACAAACGGTCGCGCATCGCGATGCATGACAATTTCTGGAATTAATATAAACTTTTGCAGATTAAACTATAGTAATAAATATTTCTATTTCCCCTTACGAGTGGGTTGACAAGCCTGTTGAATTGCTGGAGTAATTATGGCACGTGTACATGACATTTCCCGCTATTGGAAACGGTATGTCATCATTGATGACATTGATTGTTTTCTATATGCAGAGCTATTAGGTTTATCGAATGCATCGTTTAATCGTGATTTGTAAGAAACGTGTGAAAGTGCACCAAAAAAAAATTGGAAGTTATTTTCTTTAATTTAACAACATCAGCACAATTTTATCAACGAACGTAGGTTTTTACGTAAAAGTTCTCACAAGCGAGAAGTGAAAAGAGAATGTCTACTTGAGTTCGTGTTGATCACGCTATCAGTTACTGAATAATCAAGCTAAACGAGTGAGTGAAATGTAATTTTTGTCAACGTGACGAATGTTTGGGCCACAACGTATCTTCGTAACGTAAGGTTTCACATAGGTTCACGTAGAAAAGTTTGGGGGATTCTCTGCATCATCCTCTCAGTGAAAGGAATCTCCACGTGTCGTGTCACCGTATAAAAACCGACGAATTTTTCGTCTGGACCACACTTCGACTCCATTCCCTAACCAAACTACATCATGTACAACTTCGTAGTAAGTAGCAGTTGATCTAATCGAATATTTTCACGCTTGTTTCAGTTCACGAAATTAACTTACTCTTCTTCGTTAAAAAAAAAAAAAAAATTGCCCCCTATCGCATATCTAAATCACTTTCTTTCGTTTCAGACTCCTTTGCTCGTCGCCTCGTTGATCGCCATCAGCGCGACCGAGCCTGCAAAGAAGCTGGCGAAGCGTGGTCTTATCGGAGGCAACAATGACTTCGACGCACTAGGAGTAGACTCTTCTGCAAAGTATCTTCCACCTGTATCCAGTGTAACGTCCGTTAAAAGACCCTACGTGGTTTCTTCCGTTCCAAGCTCGTCCTACAGCGTCCCCTCTTACTCTGAGCAAAGTTATGGAGTTCCTGCTCCTGCGCTAGTTCCATCTTACTCAGCTCCCGCCCCTGTTCCAGCACCAGTTGCCTTTTCTGTCCCCGCTCCAGCACCTGTTTCCGTTCCAGTCGCTGCTCCTGCGCCAGTTGCTCTTCCTGTTCCTCCTCCTGCGCCACTTGCTGTCCCTGTTCCTTCTCCTGCTCCTGTCCCCGTCTCTTTTCCAACGTATTCCGCTCCAGTCGCTGCCCCAGTCCCATCGTACTCTGCTCCTATCTCCGTTCCAGCGCCAACTTACGGTGTACCAGTCTCTGCACCTCTCCCGGCTTTCAGCGCCTCTGCTCCTGTCTCGGTACCAAGTTCGAGCTACGGATTCCCCAGTCTCTCGTCAGTCCACAGCGCATCGATTCAAACCGCCTCGGTACCTCTGTCCACGGGACCCGTCAGTGTACCTAGCACGTCTTACGGCGTGCCAAGCACGGTCGTCCAATCCGTACCCTCCGTCGGTGTCTCATTCAACTCGGCCAGTTACCCGAGTCAAACGTCGAGCCACCACGTTCCTGCAGGTAGACTCTCATTGAGCTCTCTCAGCGTGCCCGTCAGATCAAACGGAGTGTCGAGCTACAGCAGTGGATTCGCAAGTGGATCGGTTTCGTCGTCGCTATCGGCCGCCTCCGCCAATGATGGATACTCGTATCCTGTGCCTTCGAAGCGACTGTTCGTTTAAATTTGCCCAGTTACACCGACGACAAGTTGTGTAATACTGTACGAACGATGAATTATTCCTAAAGCGGAAACAGTGTTGTAAAACGAAGTAAAATTACTAAGCAAACTGTGAAGAAATAAAAATATTTACAATACGTTTTCATACAAGCACGCTTCTTCTTTGAATTTTTTCTTTGATATTTTTTGATATTCTTTGATATTCTTTGATATTCTTTGATGTTCCAGCGCGACTTTTTTCGTCGTGCGTTTCGCAGTGTGACGTGTAACTTGTACATTTACGCACGTTACGTCGATCTTTATACGTTGTCCTTATTAAACTCCTAGATGGAGAAACGCATATAAATTTTAATATCTTTCGCATATTACGATCTTGAAAGTTGGCGGAGAGACGAACTTCACAAGATTTAATAAAGGTTATGCGTTAATTAAAATCTTCACTTAAACTGGAGCCAAAAAAATAACCCGTGAATCAATTATCCGTCCTTCTTCCACACACGTGCGCCAACTTTATCCTATAAAATTATAACGTGAAAAATCGTTATACGACCAGATCAATTAACGTTAAAACCACCAACCATTAAAATGTGAAACCGCCGATCATTAAAATATAAAACCAGAGAAATAATACGGTTTCAAACCGTAGGAAAAAATTTGTTCATTCAACAGTGAGCACAAATCTTGCGAAAAATCTCCAGAAACACACCGTTTCGAATTTTTACGAAAATTACATTGTTGGTCGGTTTTAGGTTCAATTGTTAATTATACCAGCAAACATGTCACGTTCGTAGCTTCGCCAGGAACTTTCGCAATATTTCAGACGGTCAGACCCTGATGATGAAACAAGACGAAATATAACGATTCGAAGTTTTAATTCAGTTTCTACTAAGCAGCTTACACGTACATTAGGTATGCCATTACACGCTATTTCAAGTCACCCTTGGTTTTTCGTCCCCACTTCTGGCCTCACAACCACCCTTCGTTTCCCACTAGAAGGCCCGCGGTTGTGTACTTTTTCAGTTGCCTACCGCCATCTTTGCAATGGCATCTGTAGTCGTAGACAGACGTACATACATACCCGCTCGTATTTCAACAAACTCCCACGAGTTTCTCTCGGCAAGCTCGCGCGTCCACGCACACGAGCGATCCGCACACCCGACTCCTGTCCACTTCTTCATTTTTTTTCTTTTTTTCTTTTTTCTCTCTTTTTTCGCCGACAGAACTGACAGTCACGCGCTATTTTACAACTTCTACCGGGCCTCCTCTGAATTAACCGGAGTATTTTCCAACTAGGAGGCCACTCCTTCTTTATCCATACTTGCCAGAAATGAACAACTTGCACGTTCCTTGCACGTTACGGTTCCCGGGGGTTGAAGTGTCGTTAAACTACCCGCCGATATCACTTCGCGGACGCGCGTGTTTCGAACGAAAGGTATACTTTGTGGTGTACTTATATAAGGTATACTTATACTACGAGATTAGACGTGCAACCTGGAAATTTGTTTGGGAATTGGCTCGGAGGCCAGGAAGGAAATTTCTCTATTTGCGGAATAAGTATCAACGACGGAAGAATTTTTCTTGTTCGAGGCACGAATGATATGATTTACACTTAATGCAAAGTTTATAGTTTGCAAGAAATTAGTATTTAACACGAATTGCCTGCAATTCAAGCGTACAGTACGTGTTAAATCTAGTCTCGTTGAACAATGTGTGACCGTGCTAATGAAATTTCAGAATATAGTCTCCCGTAAATTCTACTCGAATTTTTATTAATCTTTGCATTCTAACGGTCGGGGTCACTTTGTTTTTCACCAAAAGTGAAATTTCATTTTTCATTGATTCTCTTTCGATTCTGTTGGAGAGACACTCGTAGACACTCTCGTCTCGGATCGTTTCCTACTCACTGTTTACATCACCGAGGCAGCAACGCGCTGTTATTTTAATGATTAGCCTATCTGCGTGTTCAATTGGTAGTTATCGTGCGTAATTAAGATGTGGCTGCAAGGACTGATAGAATGATTGAAAAGCGAAAGCAAATTAATTACAGACCGATCAATATGTATGAACGTCGGGCGCTGCGATAATTTTCCTCGATTCAGATTCTTTAGTTGAATTTTCCCGGTAGGTGCATTACAGAAATTACGCGTCGCAATTGAATTATTGGAACGGACGCACATTTCCTTATCGCGATACGATTTATTATCACGTATTTGCAATGATCAATGAATACCCGTTACCGTCGAAAGTATTTCAGCGTCCTGTTTACATTAATATCCTTAATGCCTGTGACGCAACGAATTTTACTTCAATCGTATTACCATTAATGCATTCTCTTTTGACGTGGTTCCCTTTGATCGTTCGGTTCAATTTATAATATGTCTTTCGTGTCGATCAGTTTGTATCCGTCTTCCGCGTTGCTGCCTCGTTTCCAACGAAAACAGAAATCTTCCATCTTTTATTCTTCGCGTGCGTGTGCGTCTGTGTGTTTTTACTCTGCACAGACAATCGACGCGCTCGTTTTAATATTTGCAGGGGCATTGTTTTATTACTTGGGGAGAGCAGACATTGGCAATTTGAAATTCGCGGATCGTAGAAGCTAATTGTAAACATTTATCTAACGTGAAGGATTTAAGGGCAGGGTAGATTTATTCGCCTAGGACCCCTGCTTAATTACGCAGATTCCAAAGCATCATTAGCACTCTCAGTATTTAAGGTGCACCGGAGAAGACGAAAGTTTCTCTACTTCGATCTAACAATAAGTTTCAATTGATTTTAGCTATACGTACGGCGCTGTAACGAGGATCAATTGTTCATCCGTCCGTTAAAAACTTGAATTCAGAAGACGCGATAGAACCTTCCGTGGATCGGTCCTTAATTAAAATTATAAATATAATTGCAAGATTCAAAATCCTCTCTTTCAGTCACTCGGTTTTGGAATTATTTCAACCAGCGATTAATTAGCCAATCTCGAAATTATTTCCATCAATGATTAATTAGCCGATCCTGAAATTATTCCAATCTATGATTAACTAGTCAATCATGGAATTATTACTTACTCAATCATTAATCGATCATTTCAATCAATGACTAATTAGTCAATCTTGAAATTGTTTTAGTAAACGGTTAATTAATCAATCTTGAAATCATTTCAATCAATGATTAATTAATTAATCTTGAAATTATTTCAGTCAATGATTAATTAGTCAATGTTGAGACTATTTCAGTTAGTTATTAACCTTGTGGGAGGATTTTAATATATTTGTCATAGTGTTATACGAGTAAGGATTTTGATATATTTGTCATAGTGTTATACTGCCAAAGATAAGCGATTTCTCTGAAGTCTGTAAATAGACCGATACGGTAACAAAAATGAATTTTTATATACTTACAGAACATCAGTAAATTTATCGCCTATCTTAGACAAGATAAATTGTCATTTTGTGAAAAAGGAACGATGTTTCATATTTTATATCTAAAAATAAATATAAATATATATATATAGGAAGGAGTATAAGTATGTGAAGAAGGTCTTTTTACTATATGTACATGTACATATTTAGTAAACGTGTGAATGATATATTTCAAAACAAGAACACACAGAGGCACTTCACATTCACGATACATAAACGTTTCAATCTACGACAAATGTATATTTTCTAAACAGATTACACATTGTCTTTGTTCCGAAAGACACGAAGAAAAGTAGCAAGTTTTTCTGTTTCATTTTTTCCGGATCAAGCTCTTCCTATCAGGCTGTCCAAAAGGAAAAATCAGTGAGAAATCAGCGAGAACTCCGAAAAGTTCCAAAGATACATACATACATACATACATACATATATTACATCGTTTCCGCGCGTCAGTTGTACGCACGCAGTTTATTAAAGGATCCGCGCGCGCAATTACAAAATTCCTGTACACCAAGCGAGAAAATTCGAAATGATATGTAATGTAGCAGAACGATGGTGAAAAATTGTTACGGTAACGAGCAGAATTGTTACGGTAATCTGGTAGAACGAACTGCGCGGCGTAAAGTGTTAATGACACGAAATGAAAACGATTCGTCTGAGACTAGTAAATCACACCGTCGTGAAATACACTAACCGCCTGGTCATTTAATTACATAGAACACGGTGGCTCGACGCGTCAAACAGCCAGGCATCGCGTCCGCTGGCATTCGTGCATCGAAATTTTTGCCTGGGACTTTATATCGGCAGTTAACGGGGATTATTTACGCCCATAACGCTTATCCAACGATGCCCGCTAGCTTTTTGTAAACCGGCCACTGGCTTTAAGCCGCCAGCTACCCGCTCAACTTTTATACCGGTTCGCGAACCCTGCTATTTACGACCGCTGTTTCCCAGCATCGCTAAGCACGTTATTCTTTAACCTCGTAGTCAGACAAATCGCCGGTTAATGTCGATTTCTCTCTCCGAGGAGCGTTCTTGTTACGCCGCAGCGTTCGATGTCGCAGCGCGATAAATAAAACGAAAAGGTATCCTCGAAACGGTCGTCGTCGAATTTTTACGAATCCCCGCCTCCGAGATTTATGCCTCGAAATGGTAAAAGTCGGAGACGCGCTGTTCTCGGCAGTAATAATTCGAGCCATCTGATTCGCGGACGTTAACCGTGATTCATGGCCTCTGTTATACGTACGGCAAAAAAATTGTTTGCTTTATTTAGCGCGCGGGTGTATGAATTTGCGAAATGTTTGGTAGGGTTATTAACGAGATTGTTTTAATTTCTATAAATTTAATGTACGAATGTATCTGAGTATTTGATGCACGAATGATAATTCGTGAAGTGGAAATGGAGTTATATGTACCAGCAACAGAAATTCGAACAGACTTTAGTCGAGGTATTTACATTTTGCAAATGGCGTCCTTTTGGAGCAACGATTGATATCGGAGCATCATCTTCGTATCATAGTTCATATTTTCGTGTAATTTAATTTTGTCTGCTTACTGATAAATTACAATAATTTGAATACATTTTTATTCAAATACGTAAAAATGATTCGAACAGGAAGAATTTAAACAGACATATGTACATTTATTTTCTTCGCCGTTGGTCCGGGCCTTGCGAAATATTCATGTATAACTTTCGCGTTTAGCTACGCCTGTTTATCTTATCTAATGCGCAAATGAACAACGTGAAATGAATTAATGGCAAGTAAATGCAGAAACTAACTAAGATACTTGCTTGTAGGATGTTTACCACGTAGATCGCAAACTAATGAAGTAAATTACATCTGAAACGCAGTTAGATCGCTTAACTTTTGCTTAAGGAAACTCATTTTTTATCGCCGCCGTCTAGGGAGAGTAATGCCAGCTTGTTTTCTAAGTTTTAGTTGGCGACAGCGTGAATCACTTTCCTTCGAGATGTTTACTGTTTACGCCCTCGGGAGCGAAAGAGTGGCGAAATGAATTAGCTAATTACTACGCCTCGCCGTGGCGTTAAATTAATGAGCCATTGGCTGCTACTTCATTGCCAATTTACGGCTAATACATAAGTAGACAAACACAAATTTCGTTGTCGACGAACGTCTAATTTGTCCTGTTTAAAAATCGAATGCTACGTCGTTTGCGACACGAATCAAAGTCAATATCGAAGTTCTATAATGAATCTTCTATTTCCGACCGTGTTCAAAAAAGTAGAACGGAATTTAACGTTTCGCGAAAGTGAATAAAATATCGGGTACACAACGATCGAATAAATCGCGTATCAATTCATGATCAGGGGTTATGAATATTCCGCGAAACTGAGAATATATTGAATCTCCCTCGTGAAAAGCGAAAATAAATTTCTGCATTTCAAACTAAAACTATTGATTTTCAATTCTGCTTTGATTAAGCATTTTTCAGTACTATCAATGGTAGTTCAAAAGTTTTTGATCTTTTTTTTTTCTCCTTCTTTCTTTATTGAGCGTCTTGTAGTTTCATCATGGAAAGTTCGAAAATGGAAACTCATTTACGATAGTTCACGTTATATGAATTTAAAGGAGATGTTAGAATGGTTGTTGAACCATACGCGACATATAATATAGTTATAGTAATATTAATATAGTTTAAATAGTAATTTGAGTGACGAACCATTCATTGACATTTTATTTTATAGCGATATAATCTCCTGATCGATGTGAATGCACGTAACTCGTTACCAAACTTACTCTGCGTTCTTACATGCAGATCCTTCGGCCAATAGATGTCGCTAACTGTACAGCTGTACAGTGCTCCAAAAATTATTCAATAAAGAGAAGAAACAAAAAACGTTCATGTACATAAAACTACGTTTAATTAAACGAAAGTACCGGATGCTTTTAGCAACGTATCGACAATTGCTATTGAAACAGAATTCACTGGAATTTGTAAAATAATTTTTGCAAAAATTCGATCAGTGTCACGAAACATTAGTAAACAAGTGGCAAGCTGTGGAAACTATCGAATTTTTAAACAATAACATGTTACTGAAACTATTGTCGAAGCTTCAATTATTTAACAAAATAATTCCATTCCAAAAGTTTCTCGTTTATACTGCTTTAGAATTTTATTTAATTTCTCTCCAAACGACTGACTGCCCGAGCATTGTTATCGATAAACTATCACTGCCTAATAAAAAGTTGTTTCCTAGTGCTATTAGCACGGTGTACGTAAGGCCGTAGATCTAGTTGCAGTAGTACAGGCGTTTTCGAGCGGCGCAACGCCACATGGGGACAGGACGCGTGCTTTTATTGGTTGTTTTGAAACAGTAAAACATACCGTAAATACCGCGTCACCGTACTCGTAAACAATAGATCGTATAAGAGTTACAGGACGGAACGACAGACGGACCAATCTGTTTAAATTTATTTTCAAATGGAATCAGCGTTGCACGGAATGCGTGAACATGACAAGCAACGTGATAGAAATTTAAAATAGTAAGTGCGATTGATAAAAATCACAGAGAGGGAAATGAGCCGAATAGATCGAGTATCGGCGAAATTATGTCACTACTCTTCGTCCTTCGATTTTACGATCGGCCTCTTTTGATACCACGCGTATAAATAAAAAGCAATATTAATACTTTGTACGTGAAATTTAATGTAACAGCGAGGCAGATAAAAATTGACGATTTATTAAACAAGAAGACGAATAGAGAAACGAACATTGTTTTTCATTATTATCGTGTCTGGTAAATTCAATTTATCATTGCGCCATGACTCCCGCTCTGAAACTTCTTCCGTATAAGCTTTTATTTCTACCATGTTTCATCATTATACAAATTAGAGATAAAACAAGCGTTTAACTCGAATCCACGGAGAGTGTGCTTCGTCCTACTATTGTACGTATGTAGTGATTGCTTACGTTCAGAGGTCATGTTTTATCAGACACAGTCGTCGACTATAACGAATTCTACATACTTAAATCAGAAACGTTTAAACAGCGTTGTGAGAATGATTTCACTTTAAATAATCATACTGTTGCTTCGCAATTTTCTTAATTTAACACAACGTGAAGAACAATCTTATATAATAAAAGATAATGACATTTAACTTACAACGAAAGCTACTGTAAAATACTATTTTCAACAATTATGAATTTTAAAATTTCCACAAACTTCCGTTTGCACATCCTTTGCGAGCAGTGAATATTTCATAAATTAAATTAATCACTATTTAAACAACGATCACTGTCCTCAATCCCTTCACTATAATTCTTTAAATTTCCAAATTACCTATCTTTTTCTTCGAAAACTCAATCTACATTAGGCGTAATCAGGATCGTATTAGCATATAAGCACATCGAAGGTGTCACACGAAGCAAATCCATTGTCTGTCCCGTAGTAATTCCCCATATTGCGGAAACGAGTTAATATATTGACAGGTAACTCGTCTTTCAATCTCATCCCCGGTCCAAAAGCAAATTACTCGACCGAAGCGAGGAAATAGCGAGGTCTGCATTGAGGGGGTCCTTCGTGTCCATGGCACGCGATGTCATATCACGTTATTGAGAGCTACTTGTCACTCCCTGCTTTGGCGTCATAGCAGGACAGGACGTCCATGCGGATCATTCAATTAATTCCATCTTTACTCACATAAATACCGACGATAACCGTAGGAAAGTTCTGTACGTCTAGCATTGTCACTTGTCATTTGAGCACCGATGTTATGAATGTGAACGGTGAGATATCTAAACACCAACGCGTCTAATTATATCCGACATTTAGAAATCACCTACATATCAACTGTGTTAACGGAACATTGTTCCTTTAACTGCGTTTAATAATTAAAAATACGTGTTTCAATATGGTAATTTAAAGCGACACTTCTCTATCTCGTTTTCTACGGTGTGAAGTGTTCTAGAAACTGGTAAATAATAAATCGATTCGTTTCAGTTTAAATTTATTTTTCAAATAAAAATAACAATTTTCAATGCATTAACGTTCATTTTAAAAGCATGATTTTTTAAAAATAAATACCGCTACCTATTTATGATAGGATTTCAGTTAAAATAGCTTGTACTAGATTCCAAAGTCGACAAGTTTTACTTTTATAAACTTTATGGACAGAATAGTCGATCGGACATTCTAATTAGATTATTATTAGTAATATCTTGTTGTCATCACGCGCAATGTGTTATAACGTTATGGCTATAATAATTTAGTCCACAAAAGGATTTTTGTAAACTGTATCAATGGTGCAAATTCTGTATATCATTCATCGTGAATAGATAATTTTAAGAGAAAAAGAATTTGTAGCTGTACGCGGAGGAACGTTGGACAATGGGCTTTTTCCCTGTCGCATTCACTGCTCGATGCAATTTAATTTCGTTTGAACGTAATATAATAGGCAGCGTACGAGCCATTTATGTGGCAGGGTGTTATAGATTATTGGCTTGACGGGTCGTGAGTCTCATACCATTTCTGTTAGGCATTCATTTATAAATGCCACAATTCTAACAAAGACCCTGATTGCGATGTTCGTAGATAGTCATCGATGCTAACTCTCCTTCTCCCTAGCGTAATGCGTTCTGGGCGTGTGCACGGCACGAACATCGCTACTTGAAATCAACTTACCGCTCTATCCGTTCGGTGCCCTCGTTAAATTCAAACAATAGCTTTTCTTTCATTCGCATATACAGGATTTCACAAACGTGGAAACGATTCTCGTCCATACTCGCACACTTTTCACCATAAAAATTTATAAGAATAACGTTATATAGAATTTTGAAAAATTAATCCCTTCAACCTCGTTCGGTCATATATCCCATTTTCTCGTTACTCTAATCCAAAACGATACGCGGAAACAAATACATTTTATCCGTCGCAGCGGATGTTGTGAATATTTAATTAAACTGAAACAGGCTGTCAGGCTGTAAAAATTAAAAGAACGTTTCACTGGAAAATTATCAATTACACGCCGCTTAGTAGCTAACGAAATTACAAACCAGCTGAGACTCATCAGTATCCGATCTTTATTACGGTTAATTTCACCCTAATCTTCCCCAATGTTCTGCCTCTCATTTGCCACTAAAATTTTCATCGTTCGAATTACAGAATTCTCGAAGATGGGATATTTTCTGAAGCAGCGTCTTCTGCGGGACGATAAAGCCACGGTTTTTGCAGCGTAATGTACTCGTGTCGAAGTGGAGAAAGAACGTGGCGGAGAAAAAGAGAGGAAAGAGAGGACGAAGGACGCGGCTGTTGCATCCTGGCGGCGCAGGAGCGCATCAACAGGATCTCGCTGGACCGAGTTGCCTCCGCCAGTGGCGCGGTGGTGGGGATGGCGGAGCGCGGTGGTGGGGGTACGCCGGCCGTCGGAGTGGGGGCACGGCACGGAGAAGAGACGAGTGGAGCTCCCTCTGGCGAATGTCTCGTGTCAGTCGAGCCGTGTGTCGCGTCGCGGTAGTGTGTTGTGTATCATAGTTGCGCGTTCCGCGTATACCGTCGAGCACTGATGACGCTTTGCTCACCGTGATTATGAGCGACGTGAGTTCAGTGAAAGCGAGTTCGACGTATTGTTCCCGATATGTCCCGAGGGCAGTGAAACGGAGCATCGCGCGATAGAAACACGCGCTCCGAACCGAGAGGCTCTGGTCGCGTACCGCTGGACCGCGTGCTTCTCGCCGTGTCGGTCTTTCCTCTTTCGGAGTTTTCAAGGTTACGGTTTCAATACCGGCACGAGAACGATTCCCGGCACGGAGACCCTCGCTTTCTGCCTGCGGTTTTCGTCGTTCCCTCTCTGTCAACCGTGTGTCCCTATCCCTGTCGTCCGGCCGTTTAACGAAAAGAAACAGCTACCCTCGATTTTTCGTTCGTTCGTTCGTTCGTTCGATT